GGTATACAATGCCAGGTATTCAGGGAACAGAAAGAGAAGGAAGATATAGAGAGACGAGAAACTGAGCAATGAAGAAAGACAAAAACGTAAAAAGAGGAAAAAGAAAACAAAAGAAATTAAAAAAAAAAAAAAAACAAGAAACAAGAAAGGCCCCCAAAGAAACAGGGGGAAAAAAAAAAACCAACATAAACAGAAATGCGCTCAGGGATCCCTCTGCACGTCTGCGGAAGGCGAAGGGGAGTCTCCCCCACCACGCAGCTCAGCCTGGCCAGAAAGGGCTCCCAACTCAAGAAAAGGAAAAGAAAACAAACAAACAATTCAAAACAAAGAAATGAACAAAAGCCCCAGGATCCCACCAGCGCGGCAGCCCAAACCGGGAAGCAGCTCCACACTCGAACAGAGCTCCGCAGCCCCTCAGGATGAAGCAAAGATGGCGCACGGAGCCAGGTACTTGAGCAAAGGGAGGGGGAGGTGGCGAGAGGCAAGTAAGAAATCAAAAGAAGCAGAAAAAATAAAGCAACACTAGCAGCCAACAAATGGCACTCAGAGAGCCAGCTAGTGTGGGCTGGTGTTTCTGGACAAGAGTCTGTGTCCACGGGAAGCAGAGAAGGCCGAGTGTGGGTGAAGAAGGGTGCAGAGTGGGAAAGCGTATATCAGAAATTGCTGGCTCTCTGCAGCCCCTCAGGAAGAAGCAAAGATGGCGCATGGAGCCAGGCACTCGAGTGAAAGGAGGGGGAGGTGGCGAGAGGCAAGTGAGAAATCAATAGAAGCAGAAAAAAAAAGCAACACTAGCAGCCAACAAATGGCACCCAGAGAGCCGCCCGCTTGAGTGTGTGTAATCCAAGCAGTCGGCGCTTCCTGGTCAAGAGACTGTGGCCGCGGGAAGCAGAGGAGGCGAAGCCGGGGCGTAGAGGGGTGGGGGGGTGGGAAAGCGCACACCACAAATTACCGGTTGTTTTGTCTCCCGCTGGATGCTCCGTGAGGCTGCTTTCTCGTTCCCCCATTTGCTGGTCTCCGACAGGAGTCCAAGATGGTGGATCCGTGCTGTGTTAGCTGGTAGTGGACCTCTGCATGAATCTCTCCTCGCTCTCCGTTCTCCATTTGGTGCTTGGCTGAGTTCTTTATCTCTTCATTTGATGTTTTAGGGTTTCAGGATTGTTGTATTCTCTGTTCGGGTTAGTTTTTCGGATCTTTGCTGTGGAGGGACGGCGTGGTGCTTCTGCCTAGAGCGCCATTTTGCTGGAACTCCGTGTTCTCATAGTTTTGAGTGTAGTGCTTCTGCTTTGGGAATGGTAATTGAGTTACAGCATGATGCAGTAAGCATATGACACTGGAAGTCCTGAAATTCAGGGCCTAGTGGCACTGTTATTAATAAGATATTCAATTTTTGGAAAGTCACTTAACCTCTAGGAATGTCAGGTTTTCTCATGTGTCAGATAAGCTACTGAAGTGCAGTCTTTTCATGGAAGTCACGAGGTCACAGAAGGTGGAGAGGAAGAGAGCATACTTACAGTTATCTTTTTTAGAGAGCTTTCCCTGAATCTTCTAGACTGAGTTGGGAGTCCATCTTACATATGACATAGAAAAATTTCTGTTGTTGTAGCACTTGGTCTTGTTGATCATTGTATTTCTAAGAGTGGGCATGTATTTGACACGTAGTAGGCAATCAAGGACAGATCCAAGTTTTGTTGATCTGAAGTTTTTAGAATTTGGGGGGCTCTCTGTAAAGAAAAAGAACTCAAGAGTAAGTCTAAAATACTAGATATAAATGTGGGTATTTATATAGAGTGAAAAAAATGAATTACACAAATTACCAATGTAAAAAAGAGGGAGGGGCTAATACCACAAGTTTCACAAAAGCTAGAAAAACCAATGTATGTTTCCATTAACTGCTTGGTACCCTCTATAATACTTTTATTCTTATAGTTCTAGTAGCATATTCTTTGATAGTTTTTCATATAATAATGATTTTGTAATATCATTTTCTATACATAAAATAGATATTCAGTCTTTCCTCTAGGTTTGTTGCTCTTTATTATTATTTTTGATAGAAGGGCCATGTAAACATGCAACACTATACACACACACACTCACTGTTTGTGGTATTGCTTGAGGTATGTGCCCTACAAATAGAAATTCTGGTAATTCCTATCTTACATATGTTATAGATTGAATTGTATTCCCCAAAAATATGTGTTGTAAATCCTAACCTCTATGCCTATGGTTATAATCCCATTTGGGGATGTGTTGTCTTTGTTGTGTTAATGAGGCAGGATTAGTGTAGGATGTGTTTTGAGTCAATCTCTTACAAGATGTAAAATAAGCAGATTAAGCAAGCAGAGATGAGGGAAGAGTGATGTCAAGCCACATGAACTTTTCGATTAGTAGCTGATGGCTTTAACTACTGTGCCACCAGGGCTCCTATTCACTCTGTTGTTGTTGCTGGTTGCCATCTAGTCGGTTCCAACTCATAGCGATCCTGTGTACAACAGCATGAAATACTGCCTGGTCCTGCACTATCCTCACAATCGCTGCTATGTTTGAGCTAATTGTTGTAGCCACTGTGTCAATCCAGCTCGCTGAAGGTTTTCCTCTTTTTCGTTGACCCTCTAGTTTACCAAGCATGATGTCCTCCAGGGACTGGTCCCTCCTGATAACATCTCCAAAGTACATGAAGTCTCAACCATCCTCCCTTCTAAGGAGCATTCCAGTTGTACTTCTTCCAAGACAGATTCGTTTGTTCTTCTGGCAGTCCATGATATATTCAACATTCTTCACCGACACCATAAGTGAAAGGCATCAATTCTTCTCTGGTCTTCCTTATTAATTGTCCAGCTTTTGCATGCCTATGAGGCAACTGAAAATACTGTGGCTTGAATCGGGTGCACCATAGTCCACAAGGTGACATCTTTGTTTTTTAACACTTTAAAGAGGTCTTTTGCAGCAGATTTGCCCAATGTAATACACCGTTTGATTTCTTGACTGCTGCTTCCATGGGCATTGATTGTGGATCCAAGTAAAATAAAATCCTTGACAACTTCAGTATTTTCTTTGTTTATCAAGATGTTTCTTATTGGTCTGGTTGTGAGGATTTTCATTTTCTTTGTACTGAGGTGTAATCCATACTGAAGGCTGTAGTCTTTGATCTTCATCAGCAAGTGTTTCAATCCTCTTCAAGTCCCCTTTAAGTCCTATTCACTCGTGGGGCCTCTAATAATGTTTACATTATCTTATACCTTTGCAGGACCCCTGGTGGCGCAGTGTTTAAGTGCTTGACTGCTAACTGAAAAGTTGGAGGTTTGAATTCCCTAGCCACTTTGCCTGAGAAAGATTTGGCAGTCTGCTTCTGTAAAGATTACAGCCTTGGAAACTCTATGGGGCGGTTCTACTCTGTCCAATAGGGTCACTATGAGTAGGAATCAACTCAGCGGCAATGGGTTTGGTTTTTTGATGTTACACCTTTGAGTAATAGTTATGGTGTTTATGACTATTAAGCTAACAATCCTAATTAAAGAAGGGATTCTAGCTGGATTAACAATAGCATTATTTCTACTACTCATACTATCGTCAGCAACACTGTAGAAAATTTCAGTATTGAAGACTTTACATATCATGATTCTGCTGCTTTTTCACATAGCAAGAAGACTGGCCATTGAAGAAATGTGAGGATTATCAGAGCATTTTCTTTGAGAGCTACTTCTTGGAGAAATTCTTATTCTTAGAGAAATATTATTAGTTAAAACCATGATTTATTAAGATATTTTACTGGCTCCCACCCACTTTTATCCCCAGAAAGATTTCCTGTAAAGTCACTCTCTGGGTGGGCATTAGGATGTGGGACCTGCTGAGTCACAGTAGGGGGACACATCTGGTAGTTATTTAACATTTCTTTTAGGAGATAAATTATTCTCTGGGCCTTCTAGCTGGAGGGAACAGTTTGCTCTGTACTTTCTTTGCTGTCATATTCTCTTTGGGCTTTCTGGTGAGTGGACCTTCAATGGAGAGTCTCCACTAAAATAATAAAGCTAGAATCAGGAACTTGTCTTATTAATACGAGTGTATTATTCTAACCTTTTCCGATCCTCTGACTCACAGAGAAGGAGGAAGGATTTACAAAACAGAAAGCACTGGTAAATCTTGACGGAGAGTCGGGGATGAACCCAGTTGAGAAAATGGGCTGATTTAAATCTGTGGGTTAAACTCAGCCCAAACAAATCAGAGTGAGTGCCTTTGGCTGTGTGGCAGTAGGGGCTAGACAGCTTCTTGGTGGCAGCTGTGGGGTAGAAGGGAGGCTCACACGCCACCAGCTGCTTCTGAAATGATCTGGGCTTATATGTAACTTGGAGTGTGAGAACTTTAAAGCACTTGTTACACCTCACTTAAACTAGCCGACCAAGAAGCGAGCTGCGGGCGGAGCGTGACAGGTATGGCCTCCTCTTCACCCCCAAGATTCATTCCGCACTGTGGTAACAGCGTCTGTAGCAGAACTGGTTGAAACTGTGTTTAGGGGAACCGTTTGTGGACAGAAGGGCAGCCCAACTCACCCTGGCTCTGCTGTTTACCAAGCGTTTTCATAAACTTTCCAAAAGTCTGAAAACTGTTTACGTGCACCAAATCAGTAACAGGAAAAAAAAAAAAAAAAAGCCAAACAGGCTGCAGCCTGAAGTCGTTTGGGCGAGAAGCCCGGCGTCCAGGGTCGCGGGCCGCGCGCTTCCCTCACAGTCTCAGGCCAGTGCCCTCGCGAGGTCCCCCGCCCCGGCTGCAGGCGGTGGCTGCGCGGGGCTCGGGGCGGTGCCGCGGCCTCTGGCTCCTCCTGGGGGCTGGTCGGCCGGCCGGCGGGGGCGGGGGGAGGAGCCGCCGTTCCGGGAGCGTGTTGCGCCCGCGCGTCTCCTGCCAGCGATGCACTGAGCCGCGCCGGCGGCCGCGCCTGTTGCTCTTGCGCTCGCCGGCTCCCGCGGCGCCGGACTCCGGGCGCAAGGCACCGCCTCGCCGGTTTCTCGCAGACAGCCCTGGGCCGGCTGCCGCACCGGGGAGATGTCCGGCGGCCGGAGGAGGAGCGGCGCTCCCTGGCACAGTCTCTCCCGGTTCTTCGCTCCTCGAAGCCCTTCCCGGGACAAGGAAGAGGAAGAGGTGGAGAGGCTGGGGACGAGCCATATGCCGGCTCCCGGCCGGGGCGCTGCCAGGTGGGAGCCGCAGGGGGTAAGGGGGTGGGCTGCGCGGACTCCTCGGGAACAGAGCTCCTGGCCGGACCGCCGGCAGCAAGCTGCCCTCGGGCCAGGCAGCAGTTTGCTCGTCACTTTCTGTTCTCCTTCCTCCATTGCTAAAGCTTCCTCCTCGACCAGTTCCCCGCGCCGCATCACCCCTATTCCTTGGTCTGTTAAATCTGGGTAAAGTTCCTGACCTGCGGGGGAGTGCGTGTCCCCAGGGCCCAGCCGTACACCACGCTCTTCGCCCCCGCCCCCCCGTGGTTCTGTTCCCGTTCCACACGCGCCTGCCCTCCAAGTTATGGCAAAAGCGATTTCCCCGGCGTTCGGCCGGCAATAATACGAAACAGTTGTGAGCGGAGCGTAGCAGTCAGCCAAGGGAATGAGGGCGCGATCAGAGAACGAGTGTGTAGATCAGGCAGAAATGGGAAAAGGTAAGGCTTTGGAGCGTCATCCTTCAGCTGGCATCTTGCTGTCTTATTAAATGCTCTAAGAATGGTTTTTTAAAAAGTGTGATACCAAGTTCCCAAGCTTTCATAAAAGCATCGCTAGTTTTATCTAACAACAGTAGTTTCATTTACCATTAACCGGACGTTTAAGTAATGCCGCCCTTCTTTCATCTCTCTCTTCGGGAACATCTGCCTCAAGTTCCCAAACAGATTACAAAAACCAGGACTCGAGCTGTCTTGGTTTCAGTAATGAAAATGTGCCCTTTCTCAGTAATCTTTTTTCCTTCTTCCACCTGCTGTAAAATCGAATTTTTAAATGTGTCTCATTAAAATGCCCGTTCCTATGAAGTCTTTTCATTCACTTTGTAAGGGGTTAAGAGGTATCAAGTAAAATACAGCTTGCCGCTTTAAACTTTTGATAAGAGAGACCCCCCGCACCCCCGTATTGCCCTAGAAAGATAGAAGGGTGTGTAACCCATGTAATTGGAAGGATGCCTCCAGAAAGCTAAGCTATGGTTCACTTCAAATGTTAAAGGGGCAGTGGTGGGCTTCAAAGAAAAATGGGCAGGAAACTGAGAGAACTGCAGTTGTGTCTCAGCTTGGTTCCATGAAGATCTAGGTTTTGTGATTTGATTTGTGTTGTTTATATGTGCATCATTTTCCCAACTTGTGAAACATTTCTGTTACTAAAACACCATATCTATCCAAGAAATTGGTTAGTCTCCTGGGAAGTTTCAGCTATTATTACTTTATCTGATTTTTAAGGGAGAGTTTCAAATTCAAAGTTACACAGTACTTAAAAATAGTTTTGAAGTCTGACTGGTCCCAGCCAGGATGTTAGATAGTGCTGCTGGCGTGGGCAGACAGCCTGTAGAGCCTGCCATCACTGTAACAACACTAACAATCTTGGATTATGTGAAAGCATTTAAAAGAAATCCCAAGTATACTCGCCAAAAGTTGGAAATTTGAGAGGGCCGATTTCAGGTTGATTTCAGTATTGTCCTGAAAGCCTGCCTGCCTGCCTGCTACCCTGCCCCTGTTTTGACTTTTTAAGGCGCCTCTCAAATCTAGTCTCTTCTGACTGGAGCTAACCACTTTAGCAACTAGTCCCTTGTCTGCCTGCCACTTCTCTATTCTAATCATCTGCAGATAGTTACATACTGTGGCTTTTTTAATATTTTTATTGTACTTCAGGTGAAGGTTTACAGAACAAATAGTTTCTCATGAAACAGTAGAACACATACTGTTTTATGACATTGGTTAACAACCCCACAACATGTCAACCCTCTCCCTTCTCTACGTTTTTTTTTGGTGAAAATATACATAGCCAAAGATACATCATTTCAAAAATCTGCATGCAGAGTTCAGTGACATTGTCTATGGTCTTCCAATTGTGCTGCTATTCTCACTTTAGATGAAGGTTTACAGAACAAAATAGCTTCTCATTAAACAGTACACATGTTGTCCTATGACAGTGGTTAACAACCTCACAACACATCAACACTATTCTTACTCAACCTTGGGTTCCCTATCACCAGCTTTCCTGTCCCCTTCTGCCTTCTAGTCCTTGTCCCTGGACTGCTGTGCCTCATTAGTCCCATTTGGTTTTATGGGGCTGTCCGCTCCATGGCTGAACAGTGAACCTCGGAAGTGACTTCACCACTGAACTAAAAGGGTGTCTGGGGGCCATACTCTCGGGGTTTCACAGACCGTGGCTTTTGACAATGGAAATTTGTATTGTGCTTATATGAGCACTAATTTTGTCCTCATCTTTTTTGTAACTTGCCAGATGTTAAGGGGATTGCAGATAATCCTTTGCGTGGGCGTTCTGTTTTAAATGAGCTTAAATCTTTCTTTTTGAGGATATAAACATGCACAAAGACTTTACTGAAAGTTTAATGACACAAATGGAAGTGCTTAGTTTAGTACCAGTGTCCCAGTAACACAACACCCTGGTGTTAACAAGATTGGAAACAGAATTGCGAGTTGTCACTGTGATCTTACTTCAGAGTTAAAGGGTGTTATGGCTGCTTCTCTTTGCAGCAAAAACCCGTTTTACCTTCTGTACTGGTGGATTTGGGTGCAGAGTAGCCAGCTCAGCAAACAGAGTGTGCTTGCTGTACTGGGGTGTAAAGGTGATGAGAAGAACACGCCTTTCCTTGAGGAGCCATGAGAAGCAGAGACCACTTGCAAGCAGCATTACTAACGCCTGTCATGTATCTAGCACTTTGCAGTTTACAGAGTACTTTTTATAATATTATTACACATGACCTTGACCAACCTGTGTTATCAGTGTTCCCACCTAACTGTAAGACAAACAGGTTTAAAGAAACTTGTTCAAAGTCATAGTTATTTTTCAGTCAGTTAACATATTATCAAGTCCTACGCTGTACCTGTTACTTTCAGGCCCCTTGACAGTCATTAAGAGTTAATGTAAGTATTGTGGTTTTTCAGTGTCCTAAAAATGAAATGCATTATTACTCAAACTCGTACAGTCCTCTTTTCTTCTTTATCCCCAGTGTAGACTTACGTGAATTTTATTATGTAAACTTAAGCATGTACAAATACAAATCTGGATATAAATTCCTTAAGAACAGAATTCCTTAAGAACAGAATGAAAAATTAAGCACAAATATAACCATAAGACCAATAAGTTAAATTTACAACATTGTCCTGGTTTTGGCTACTCACAAAATGCCTATGGTACCAACTAGGACAAACACAGGATCTATGAGGTTTGCCATGATTGTACCACTCTGTACCATGCCATGATCTGGGTCTTCCAACATTTCTCTGTTTGAACCATGGGAGCTCCTGTTAAGTTTCGGCAGTTAAAGAAGGCCCGTTAGCATGTTGTGTATGTGAACTCGGGTGCAGGCACTGGAATTGCTTGGGAATACTTCTAGGCGCCCTGGTGGCACAGTGGTTAAGAGTTCAAACTGCTAACTAAAAGATCAGCAGTTTGAATCCACCAGCCACTCCTTGGAAACACCATGGGGCAGTTTTACTCTGTCCTGTAGGGTTGCTGTGAGTCGGAATCGACTCGCAGCAGTGGGTTTGGTTTTGGTTACTTAAAGCTTAAGGAGTCCCTGGGTGGCTCAAATAATTAAGCTCTAGACTAGCCAAAAGGTTGGCAGTTCGAACCCACCCAGAGGTGCCTCCTAAGACAGGCCGGGCAATCTGCTTTGAAAGATCACAGCCTTGAAAACCTAAAGGAAAGTTAGTTCTACTCTGCACACATGGGGTCACCATGAGTCACAATCAACTTGAGGGCAACTAACAGCAACAACAACAACTTATAGCTTGGGTGGTAGGCCAGATCCAGGAAGTGCTTATATTAATTTATTTTATATAGAAAATGAAAGCCACAATTGAAGTTTTCAAAGGAAAGTCGAGAAACTCCCAGAGGTTTGTGGATCCCGGTGTGAGAATCACTGCTGCAATATTAAGCCTAGTTGATGAACACACAAGGAACAAAATCGTTAGATGTAGTTGGGGAGATCAGGGAGGACTTCGTGGTGGACATGGTTTTAATGGGCCTTCACGGAGTAGATGATGTATCTATAGGCAGAGAACTTAGCAAGGAAGATACAGAGAGATGGAGAACAGGCCATTCTACACTGAGTCAAGGCCTACAGGCATTTATAATCTGCCAGGGCTTTATAAATTGGTGGGACAGTGGCAGTCCCAATTTAAGAGAGGCAGTGAGAAAGTTAGATCAGAACTGGGTTGTAAAGGTCTCTGGACAGTGTTTGGCTCTCCATCTAAAGTTGAGAGAAAGTTTGCAAAAGCCTGCTAAACAGATACTGCTGAAATGTGAAAACTTGAATGATACCTGCCTTCTAGTTTTGTCCATTTTGAGAAAATGATTGCTCAACTTTTGTTTCCTTGCTGTATCATACACAATGATGAATGAATTCCATGCAACGTTTGTAACTGGGGAGGGAGATAGTAAGGAGGAACTGCATTTATCAAGGGCTGACTGTGTGCTTAATCCTGGGCCAGGGACTTTTTACTTGCAGCACCTCGTTTAAACCTCATACTCAGTCTGGAGGGTTGGTTTATCACCATCCTGACAATTGAGGAAGCTGAGGGAGAGAGAGTTCTTGGTGGCAGACACTATTGGCATTTTGGTTTGAGCTGCACTCTCCTGTCCTTTACAAGATATTTGGCATCTGCGACCTTACCCACTAATTGCCAGTAGCATCCTCCAGTCATTGAGATAACCCAAAACACCTCCACATAGGTGGGCAGGAGGGAGAATGGTACCACTCCTGCTGAAAAATGATTTACCCCACGTCATGCGAGGAGCAGGTTTGAACCTAGTCTCTCTGACTGACTTCAAAGCGTGGATTCTTTTTCCACACCATCCAGCCCAACACGCTTCTGAACTGTGCTCCTTCAGAACACATTTGAAAATGCAAGTCAGTTGGAGCTTTCCTCCCTTTGTTCCAGACTGGGTGACAATGTAGTCCATTTCAGGTATATTCTTTTTGGCTGTTACTTTGAGTGGCCTGACGTAGTGTCATC